CCACGGGTAGGTATATAAGTTATAACAAAACTATTTAACCACACATTTATTATTGTTATTATTTCCTTTAATTCCTAGAGGAACATAGGGCTTCAGCTGCACGTCTCCATTGCGTTCGGTTTTCTGATAAAGTTTTCACCTGGCTCCACGTCTGTCCACATGCTTTCATCTCCTCTTCACATGACCTCCTCCAAGTCACCCTCGCACTGACGACCAACTCGCCGCTTCCCTTTCGGGTTCCACTCGAGCAATGGCCTGCAGTGTGATGTCACTTGATGGTTTCCTCAGAGTATGGCCAATTCATCTCCATTTCTTCCTGCATGGGACAATCGGTTCCTGTTGGGTTAGTCCGCTCATTGCCAGAGATCCCTGTTGCTGATCTTTTCTGGCCATCTGATCTTTAGTACTGAGCGAAGACAGCTGTTGATGAAGGTCTGTAGTTTGTTTGAGATGCTCTTTATGACGCGCAGTGCAAGTCTCTGATCCGTATAGTGAGTAGCACTGACTTCACATTGGAGTTGCAAATCCGGACCTTATTTTTGACGCTGAGTGCTGTTGACCTCCACACAGACTTGAGAGAAATGAAAGCTTGCCTTGCTTTCCCGATCCTTGCTTTGATATCCTCATCAGTTCCGCCTGCAGTTGAAACGATGCTTCCCACACATTTGAATGAGTGAAACTGAGATCTGAATTTCCTCAGGTAGTGGATATTCTTACGTGGTTTTTTAATACGTGCTTAGAGGAATATTGTAATCATAATAGATGTTACATTTCTCTGTTTTAAAAGTCTTTTTTATACAGGTGGAATATTCTGTTGTAGCGTTTGCTATATAATACGCGCGACAACACCTTGTAATCGATCTTATCCCCAGCCAACTTTTTTAAATTACAAAGTGAATTGAATCGCAAAAGTTAGTTTGTAGGGATTTTATATGCTTCACGTTTGGTCAGGGATTGATGTCAACTCAACAACAATAAACTAACTCTAAGACATCAATCCGATGCTCACTAGTGAGACTGGATACAGGAGGGAGTTGATTGGATTTCTAGTGAGAAGTTGTGACCAGTAGGGTCCACCCAGTCGACAGTGAGGAAATAAACTCGGCGAAGACGGTAGCTGGTAGTCGCACTAAAAGCATACATTGGTAAAAATTGGAATTCAAAAGCCATTGAATCCCACCCCAGTGTCTGATGATCTGTAAGATCGCCTTGTAACCCCAATGGTGGCGTACTGATGAAGAGTCGCAAACTGGGACGAAACAGCCGTGATCAAACCTTGAATTGTGTCTAACTCTGAGTCAAAATGTGCTTAAAACGAAAAAAACCTACGTAGGATCTCAAAACCAACAGAAAATTTCGATCACCATGAATTCGTGAGTTGGAACACTGTACGCTTTACAAGCTCCCCTTTATTTTCATTGAAAGAAAGCAACTTAATGTTTAGATTATATGTGAAAAATACTGAGAATTTATAGAAAATATTCCAGGTTAAACCGAACAACTAATTCATATTTCCGGTGAATTGAAAAGAGTGAATTATGATTTTGGTTTTATAAAAACTATGTTGAAGTAATTTCAAGTGACCTTCTCTTAAAAGCCAACTGACCTTAAATATTACCTCAAATTTATATATATATTTACATATATGTATGTATAAACGAGTAATGATGACATAAATGTTTACAAACTATGAATAATTTTCTAAGTGACACATTTAATTTATTCAATAAAAGTTCTAAGAAAGGAAATAAATTGAAATGATTAATCATTAATAATAATAATAAATAAATTAGATTACTGGTCAGACTATTTGACACAGTTTCTGCTGTGTGGTAGACTGATATTTTATTGGACAGCTATTTCATCCTTGTTTGTGACTCTTCAGCTTCCCTCCTCTTTCCCATAAGACTTTCAGGAGGTTTCAAGGCGAGTCACTAGTATTGAATTCAACAGCCTATCAATTCTGACTTCTGTCAATTCGTGATATATAGCCCAACCGCCAGTCGTTATCATACGTGACTGAATTCCATATCGCTGACTGAATAGTCAACGAGATCGCCTTTTAACCTGAAAGTACTGCGTCCGATGCCTGTCGTAGATGCTGTCATGAGTCAGTACTGTTCTGAACAATTCCAAACTAGGATGAAACAGCTATACGGCAGCACTACCTGGTCTTCAACGGTTCCCTTACTGAAGTCATTTCGTGGGAAGCCATGACCAGTAGGGTACAGCAGGTTGAAGATGAGGCAGTAACTCATCGAAGAAGACATTGCGAAAATGGTCGCGCTATGTCCTGAATTGGCAGAAGTTAGAATTCATGGGCCATCGGATCGAGTCCCAGTGGCTTAGTGGTCTACGAGCTCGCCTTCTAACGAGAAGGTCCTGGGTTTGAACCCTGGCAGTGGGTACGTACTGCTGAAAAGTCGCAAAATAGGCCGACGAAACAGCTGTCCAGTACTCTCTGTAGGTTTTCCAGTGGTTCTCTAACTGATGTCAGCTCATGATGAAATCCTCCATCCAATCAAAGAAAATCCCTACAAAACCATTACTAGAAAATCTTGAATTCCCTATAAACCAACACTTGGTATTTTATTACAGCAAGGAGCTAATTTTCGATAAAGAAACTTAACAACCACTTGTATCTCCATACATTTGAAAATGAGCCAGTTACCTATCTACTTGTGGGCTAACGACCATACTACCACACTGTTCAAACCTTCGTAGTTGCAGCGGGGTTCGAACTTGTGATCCACTGTACTAGTTGGAAGTTGAGTGGCAACAACAGCAATGAGCCACAACTCCACATAATTATTAAGAAGAAGTTGGGATGAATAGTTTGAGTCACATCAGTTAAGGTTCTGATACAACCTATTATTAACTAAGGTGAAAAGAGAATCTCAAATGGTCTTATCCTCAATGATCAATCCATTACTTTCCCCTCGACCCACTCCCACCTCTTAGTTCATTGTAATAAGAATCGCACAGACTAGATAAAGGAGGTAATTTGACTATACTGACACATGTCTCTCAATCATACAATTGATGAGTATAACTCTTGGTAAAACTGAATTCCAAATGAAGACCTGGCAAATACATAGATGTCGTAGCTCGGTCAGTACTAGGGCATTGAATTAGTAGACCTAAGACCACTGAGTTTAAATCCTATCTTAATTTAGACTTACCAGCCAATATCATCATTGATCATCATGACGCCTTAGAGTAAAATTCATATCCTGTCTCTTGACAAACAGAATACTGGATATGATAGAGAAGATTTTTAGCTCAGATGGATGATTTTGATGTGGTTGTGTTCTCTGTTCTCCAACAAAATCACTTCACTCAGCTGGCTCCATGTCAACCAAAAGACTCAACAGCGAAAAAAGATAAAACACCAACATCATCTACAAAATAAATTGTAACAACTGCGAAAAACATTACAATGGCCAAAGTGGACGTCCCCTTCGTCTTCGTATCCACGAACATAAGCTAGCCGTCAAAAGACATGATATCCATTCCCTCATATCACTACATACAGACAACCACGGACATCAATTCGACTGGGACAATGTTCAAATATTAGACAGGGGAAACAACAAGAATGCTAGAGAATTTTTAGAAACTTGGCATTCCAGTGAATCATCAATCAACAGACACATCCAGATTGACAAAATTTATCAACCTATAAGAAAGAAACCTTACACACAAAGGGTCAAAGTTCAAGTCAAAGAAACAGTCAGTTCCAATACAAGTAGCCTAGAACGTGTGAAAACACACAAAAACAACCAATCACTTCCAACGTCACCAGGAGAGGTGATTAATATACTCGTGGATAAATCTAAAAGCTCACTTCAACGAATTGAAGTATGCGCTGAAGATGTCGCCTAGTAGGGCGATTAAAGCTTCGCAAATTAACTATCCAGCTCAGAGAACACAACCATATCAAAAACAGGATACTGAACAGCTAGTACATAAAAGTCTTTGCGTCGCCCCCTTATAAAACAATGGAACACCACCTAATATGTTATAAAGCTGTACACAAAAGCATGGTCGTTTGATCCAATCATCAGCCAGTAAAAACTAATTACCAGCTCGGAGTGGAATTTCTCAAATTTCAATATACTACTGATTGATCAATATGAGTAGTTAGATGCAAGTCGCACAAACTAGCAGTGCTTGCAATCCAGATATAGAAAGAAGTGATCTCGACTCATTGTACTACCAGTTCGTCAAAAAAGGTTAACCAGAAATCGGATGGCATGAACTGATTCGAATCTTCGAGGTAATTTTAACCAGGTACACCACTGATGAACCGGGCTACAAAACGAGCTCAACAGTAATCCAGTGTTTAAATCGCTTCAATCTAGCTAGCAAAACACTACTGATTGATATGACTAGTATCCAACTATTCATTCATTCATTCATATCGACTGAACAGTAATGAACATTAGTCATTTATTTCACTCTGATTAGGGTATTTTTCAACAAAGCACAGCATACAACCTTATTTGAGAGATTGAGCAACAAAAATACTATTCAATCATTATTGGGTTCAAGTATTGATTTGTAGGTACCTGACTGATTGGTTACAGGATTTCATCATGAGTTGACATCGGTTAGAGAACCACTGGTGGATGCGTACTGATGAAGAGTCCCAAACTAGGACGAAGCGGCTGTCCAGTACTCCCTGCAGGTTTTCCAATGGTTCTCTAACCGATGCCAGCTCATGATGAAATCCTGTAACCATTATTGGATTATTGACGGCGGAATGATCGGTGTTTCCAGTGAGTAGAAACCGAAGGCATCATACACGACTGAGTTAACCTGACCGTATGCAAAATTACACACTTTTATACCTTCACAGAGATTTTACCAAACTTCCAAAATCATTATATGCCCAGAAATGTTTCGAAAACACTAATAGGCATATCATGCAAGTGTATATAGATATAAACCCTAGTATTATAGTAATAATGAATAAATAAATGTAATACATAAATTACCTCAACTATTTGTCCTCTAGACATAACCAGGATTAGATCAGCTTTACGTACTGTACTCAATCGATGTGCAATGATTAAGACTGTACGATCTAAACAAAAAAAAGCAAATGCAGAATAAAAACGAAACAAAGTAAGAACTGAGTATGATCGCTTTGAAAACATTGAAAAGAAAAACTCTACTTACTGATCACAAGATATACTTTCACACTCACATACACAAAAATGATCATCAGTTCAAGTTGTTATACTTCGAAATAGAACATTGAATTCCAGGGCCAATTGGCTGAATAGTCAACCACCAGCTTGGTTTCGTACCCTGAAGGTCCTAGTTCGGATCCCTGGTGGGATTACAGGTGCACATTGCTGAAGAGTCCCAAACTAGGGCGAAATAGCTGTCCAGTGCTCCCTGGCTATCAGTGATTCCCCAATCGATGTTGGTTCGTGACGAAAGCTACATTGAAACATGTAGGTGACAGCTAATATTTTGATGAAGATTCCTTAAGGCAGTCGAAACTTCAAAGATTATAAGAAATGAATACAACTGCGTAAGTGTGAACGATTTTGACTCAGGCAGCCAGTCAACACAACCTAAATCTCCTTAAGTCAATCATATCGATAATTAATCATTCCATAAGTTGATGTTATGCTTTCTAATTTAATTCTTTCTTAGCTAATGCGTTAATCATATTACTGCTGACTTCTAACTATAATGCATTCTCAGGTATTGGTTTTGTAGGGATTTTGTTTGTTTGATTGGTTGGAGGATTTCATCATGAGTTGACATCAGTTAGAGGACCATTGGAAAACCTGGGAGTACTGGACAGATTTTTCGGCAACCTAGTTTTGGACTCTTCCGCAGTACACACCCACTGTCGGGGTTCGAACCCAGGACCTTCTGGATACAAGGTGAGCTCGTAAACCATTCATCAGCCACTGGGACCCGATCCAATGACCAGCTCATGAATTCTAACTTCTGTCAATTCATGACATAGCGTGACCACTTCGCAATGTCTTCTTCGATGAGTTACTGCCTCACTTTCAACCTGCTATACCCTACTGGTCACGGCTTCCCACTAGAACCCCAGGTCACTGCCTGAATACGGCCAGTCGCTAGTGTGCATATAATGCATTCCACATGATTTATATAATATAATACTGATCAATAAATCTACTCACAAAAGAACTGAAAGTCAAGTTAATTAATTCCCTTGATATTTAAAAATTTGCTAGCTTTTTGAAACTCTATTTTCCCTGAGTACATCTCATCGAAATCTAAATCATCAGTTATTTTGTAAGTTGGGTGACATTGGCGAGTTGAAATAACTTAAATGCACACAATAACCATTGAAAATTTTACAGAATATGTGTATATATCAGTTATTATATGAGTTAAAGAGAAAATGAAAGTGAGAAAGCATTGAAAACGTTTCTATTACAATATTACTCAAAGAGTTCTCCTTTTCATTCGATAATATAATATTTTATAAACTTTCTCAAAGTATACAAAATATCCAGAGAAGTGATTCTCTCCAACAGCTTCATTCACTCAGCTGTACAATGATTATGACAAATAATTATTTGATTAGATGGAGGATTTCATCATGGGCTGACATCAGTTAGAGAACCATTGGAATCCCTGGGAGTAATGGACAGCTGTTTCGCCAGCCTAGTTTGGGACTCTTCATCATTACGCAGCTGCTCAATGGTCTACGGGCTCGCCTTGTAACCAGAAGGTTCTGGGTTTGGACCCTGTGGTGGGTGCGTACTGATGAAGAGTCCCAAACTAGGCTGACGAAACAGCTGTCCAATACTCCCAGGGATTCCAATGGTTCTCTAACTGATGTCAGCTCATGATGAAATCCTCCATCCAATCAAACAAAATCAGTGTAGGACTTTGTACAGAAGTGCAGCAGTTCAAGTTGTCACACTCCATATAGCACACAAAGGCAGAGCAAATAGAGATTCAGAAGAACTACAATAAGCTCAAATGTACGGGAGAAAGAACAGAGACATCGAAAAAAATGAAGATTTAATGAATCTGAGAGATTTCAGAGAGTGGAAGCATCTGCACCACTGACAACCATTTCCAGCCATATCACCAACAGTCTCAAGTCATCGGTTCTTAACATCCCAACGACGACAGCTAGGCAATATACACTGCCCTATGTGGCTGGGTCACACCAACAGCCACGTTTTGATTTGAAAACCACCTCTAACTCCTTTGCAATTTAATCCCATATCAGCTAACATTGCTTGTCGAGGAGGAAGGTGGCTTGGCATGCACAACACGTATCCTAGCCATTTCCCAATCGATATAGCTCCCCACACTCTCATCAATTAACTTCCCCACCTTACCTAACACTCTATGCTAAATTTCAACATAACTAACCACAGCATACAGTTTAATACGGAGGATAGAACACAAGTATATGTGATTGAAGATGCTAACAACAACTAAGTTTGGAATTATATCCAAAGTAGAAGGAGTGGGTGAAAAAACTCTATGTGTGCTCATAAATCCGGGTTTTTTATCATATGAATGGTTATGGCTTCAAAGAAATTCCCTTTACAGAGATTGAAGGACCAGTGCTAAAAATGTACTCAATTGTAGCACTTTGTATTGATGCATTATGGTCTAACTGTAGCTATGAGAGATACAACTCACATAGAACGGCCAATACATCTCGCACCACAGGAACCAGTGCATTGGTACACACATACAGAAGTGATCAAATAAGACAGTTTTCTTTAAACATTACTAGAGAACATTGGACAGTAGGAGAATACCAATCTTAATGTTAATGCGAAGACCATTCAACATTCTATTCTTTAGTCTCGCAGCTGTATAACTAACTGAATGAACTATTTGCTTTCATTTCCGTATCGAAAATGTGATTCATTTTCAAATATAGATAGACTTGCTGATGTTTATTTGACTGTATTCTCTGAGCTGGTTAATTTAACTGCGAAGCTTTCGTCTTCCTTTTAGACAACATCTTCAGCCTTCAGTCCCCATTGACATATAAAGTTCTGAGTATGGATACTTCGATGATGCTTTAAGGTTAAAATGATTTCATTTAGCTTGATAGTGGATAACAGTGGAATCTTGGATGTATATTTGCTTCAGTTTGAGGACCTGTCAGCTGATGGTAACCCAACTGACAGACGAATCCAGCACCTATCGTTTCAAACGCCAAATGTGTCCTTCCCAGTAGCTGAATGGACAACAGGCTGACCCCATAACCTGAAGGTCCTGGTGGGCGTGCCATTGAAGAACACCAGAATAGGACGAAGCGACTGTCCAGTCACCCCTGGTTTTCAAATCTCTATTATTTCAAAATACTTATTGAGTATTTTTTTATCGCCTGGATACAACGATCTTGTAGTACACATGTAGAAAATTACACTGAAAAACTATAGGAACGAACTACAAACTTTCTAGCATCTCTAGTTCAATTCATTAGATGAAACGTATTACGCAGGGAAACTAGAACCTAAGGTAATACTTACCGACATTTAATATACTACTTACAGTCATACAAAAGTATGAAAATTACAGTCACAGTTATCAGCCTAATGATGTAATCTGAGATAAGTAATTCAGTTTCCGTCAGTACAGCTTACTACTAACCCCCCTAACTGTCAATGATGAATACTTTATAGGAAGACAATGGCCAGCACCATCGTATTCGCTATCCAACGACATGAAGTAATGTAGGCCAATGGGCGTTTCAGAGATAAGCTTGTTTTAATCTTTAAATAAACAATTTTTATTTACTATCGATTCTATAAATGAGAATAACTCACACGCTACTTTGTTTAGGTTAATTTGTATCTCCCCTTGGTTGATTATATTTTAAACCGAAATACTCGATTTCTTGTAACTTCAACTTGTTAAAAGAGATTGAGCATTTCATCCCTACATAATCGATCAATGGGGGATACAAATTAGCCTAAAAACAAATAAGAATCGATACCAATTGCACAGGAGGTGACTCTCGTGATCTGGTGGATAACCCTTTAGCATTTGAAACGATAGATACAGGGTTTGAGTCTCAATGTGGACACGATCACTCACTGAGGATTGCAGTCGGATCTAGCTAATGAGTCCCAAACAGCACGAAATGCACATCTTGGATTCCACTACTGCTAGCCGCCATCAACCAAATAACATCTCACATGTTAGTACAATGTGAATACTTACCAACTAGCATAGTAGTAAACTGTTAAGGAGAATGACTGATGAAAGAAGGAGTTTATCCGGTGTATAATGGACAATAGGTGTATGCGTTGTCCCTCGCAAAAGAAACTACACTTACGTGCAGATACTTTACACAAATATTTCACTTTATCTCAATCCAACTACTGAATATACGGTTAGTAGTCATATCAGTAGAGAGTTCGAAAATATATAGAACACAAAGAAAATGAATGTAATAGTTGTTGCCTGTCAGAAACTATGTGCATATTTGCAAGCTAGACGGCGTATTATATTCAAAATGTCAGAGATAGTGTTACTATCTGGCTGTCTGACTACACCAGTAGATGAGGTGTAATCAGAACCCATCAGTCACTGGTTAAAAGTGTAAATCAGAGAACCTACTGCGACGTAGTTACCAGGTAAAAGTTTTCTTAATGTACTGATCTGCCAGCTGTATTTGAAGTGTAAAAAATAACCATATTACCATGATTTCAAGGCTAAAGTGACTGCAAAGCGATTTAAATGTAAAACTCCTTATTCGGAAGTCAAGTGCAATCATCACTAAACAAACTACAATCGCTAAAACACTGTGTGGCGGTCCAAACCAATCTTTTGACTGACTGAATATCAGTGTAGGACTTTGTACAGAAGTGCAGCAGTTTAAGTTGTCACACTCCATATAGCACACAAAGGCAGAGCAAAGAGAGATTCAAAAGAACTACAATAAGCTCAAATGTACGGGAGAAAGAATAGAGACACAGAAAAAAATGAAGATTCAATGAATCTGAGAGATTACAGAGAGTGGAAGCATCTGCACCACTGACAACCATTTCCAGCCATATCACCAACAGTCTCACACCATTAGTTCTTAGTATCCCGAAGACCATATTCAGACAGTCTACACCTACTTATGTGTAGGTGTCATGGATTCATGATAGGTTTTGGTTTAACAACCCCGAACCCTTTTCCAAACTAATCCTATGTCTGATTGGATGGAGGATTTCATCATGAGCTGATATCAGTTAGAGAACCATTGGAAAAACTGGGAGTACTGAGCAGCTGTTTCGTCCTAGTTTGGGACTCTTCACAGTACGCACCCACGCCACGGTCCAAACCCAGGACCTTCTCGTTACAAGCCACTGGGACCCGATCCAATGGCCCATGAATTCTAACTTCTGCCAATTCATGACATAGCGCGGCCACTAGCCAATGTCTTCTTCGATGAGTTACTGCCTCATCGCCTTGTAACCAGAAGGTCGTGGGTTCGAACCCCAGCGGGTGTGTACTGATGAAGAGTCCCAAGTTAGGTTGACGAAACAGCTGTCGAGTACTCCCAGGTTTTCCAGTGGTTCTCTAACTGATGTCAGCTCATGATGAAATCCTCCATCCAATCAAACAAAATCCCTACAAAACCAATACTTGAAAATTAATCCTATGTCAACTAATATTGCCCGTCGATTAAAAGAGTGGCCTGGTGTGTGCAACACGTGTCTTGACTAGTTCTATCAATGTAGCTTCACGATTTTATCGATCAACTTATCCTCCTTATCTAACCCTACACGCCTAACTTTAGTATTGCCCATCATATTATACCAACCACTTATGACGAGAGATGGAACGGAAACATCTATGGTCAACTGTTTGAATTTATTTAATTCATACAGCTGAAATCGCAAAACTGATACAATCAGGTTAAATGGACGTATATGTCAGGAATGTACAAAAAATGAAAGGTGAAGGAACAAATAAAATTCCAAGGGTAGTTCTCAGACATATATGATTCAATATTTGGTACATGAAACGTTTGTTACGAGGGTAACTGAATCTTAACCTTTTCAAACATTCACATGTGCGCGTACAATATCCCGGTGAGACATCATTCTCGGAATCTCCACAACCCCACTAAGCGACCTTCCTATTTTAAATACAGCGCTACATATGACTACAATGCTAACTGCTTCTCGGTTTTATCATAAAATATAGAAGAAATATTTCAAAAATATTGCTACTGATAACATTAACTAATTCACTATCCGTATAGTTTGTTACTAGTGATCGTTTTCACAGGTTAACTGATAAGACAGCCGTCGGTAGTTCAGTGGTGGGATGCTCACCGGCTACTCATGTGATCCAGGGTTCGATTTCCAATCGACACACTTTTTAAACCTCGCCTAGTTTAATAGGCGATAGCGATCCAAAAAAAGAGGGAAGATTGGGCATGAGGCTAGCAACCCTACCCTGTAAAAACTACACGACAACACAGTTACTGAAACGTCAAAGCTTAAGCCTTCAGTCCCTCTGCTCCCACTCTGAATTGAAACGAAAACAAAAGCTGACAAGACACAGAGCAATTCAAAAGCTTAACTTTTCATCTCTCAACACTCGTATAGATACTTGACTGGTGTTGTAAGCTGATTATGAAATAATAGAGAAGATTTGTAGCTCAGGTGGATAATTTGCAATTAATAGTGTTCTTTGAGCTGGTTGGTTTAGTTGCGGAGCTTTCGTCATCCTCCCTCTGGACAACATCCTTCAGCGCAATTTTTAGCATAAAGTGAAATGATTTAAATTTCTTCATGAGTGATAGAATTGCGTCTCCCGGTAACCATCTTTACATATGTATTGACCATTTTCTATTGACTTGGATTTTAAACTTTCTGGTCACATGATTTACTTTTTATTAGTTGGTATATTTCGTCTATATTAACGTGTTTGTTAATTGCATATTCGTTTGAGTACCAGGCTTCTAGGAATTCCCTGGCACTTTTGGTGTTTCCTCTGTCTAAGATTTCGACATTATCCCAATCAAACTGATGTCCATAATTGTCTATATGCATTGATATGAAAGAATATATATCGTGTCTTTTCACGGCTGATTTGTGTTCCTGGATTCTGATTCGAAGGGGACGCCCACTTTGGCCGATGTAATGCCTGTTACAGTTCATACAATTTATTTTGTAAATGGTATTAATTTTATCTCCTTTTTCTGTTTGGATCTTTCGGTTTGCATAATATCTAATTAAGCGATTTGACTGGCTTGTGTGCTATATCTATATCAAACGGTTTCAGTATTCTAGCTGTTATTTCAGAGATATTTCTCATGTATGGTAGGATGAATTTTCTTGTGGTCTTTGATGATGGTTCTTTGTTGGTGTTTTGATTCGACTTTAAACACTTTTTGATGAAATTTTGTGGATAACCATTCTTTTTGAAGACCGTTTGTAGGTATTTTTCTTCCATTCTTTTCAACTCTGGAGTGCTACACAGTGTGTTTGAATTCTTTTAAACAATGTCTGCACACAGTTTCTTTTGTGAGTAATTGGATTATTGCTAGTATAGTTGAGTATTTGATCTGTGTGCGTTGATTTTCTATATACTTGTGTTTCTAAATTTCCTGTGTTAGTTCTCCTGATTAAGACATCTAAAAGTGGGATTTTGTTATCTAATTCTTCTTCTCTTGTGAATTTGATGTCTTCTTCGCTCCGCAACAAAAACCAACCAGCTCAGAGAACACTATTAATTGCAAGCTGATTATGTAGAAATGAAAGACTGATGCAAGAGAATAGAGACGTTCAACCAATTAAATCAACTAACTTTTCATAGCAAAGTTTAATGCTTCTTGTACTTTCGCTTCAGATTCTGCATCTAAAGCTGATGTAGCCTCGTCCATTAATAAAATTGGAGCATTTTTCAATAGAATACGTGCTATAGCTATCCGTTGACGTTGACCACCGCTTAAACCAGCTGTTGAACCAGTACCTTGACCAACTTGTGTATCATATCCATAGGGTAAGTCACGTGTGATGAATTCATGAATATGTGCTAATTTAGCTGCTTCTTCAACCTAAAAAATGCATAAAAATAAGGCGTTAAAAGCATTCTAATCAACAACAAAAAAGTTAATACACACTAACAGAGCTGAAATCTAAATAACCCTCCCAGCCAGCTACAAGCTTCCTGCGGGCATTCCTTCTCCGCATGCTTATTTTCATTTGAATCCAAAGAAGACACATCCATTGACTGGCTTCCCGAAGGCCTTCCACCACCTGAACATCATATCGTCTCCACGATTTCAGTGAAGAATAGGATTATTATTTTGCATTTTTCTGTTCTATAAAGTTTCTGTAACGACTGGACCGATTTTCCCGGATAGGTTCATCACTGGCTACATACATACCCTACCTTCCGTCTTTTCCAAGGTTTACGACCGGCTGATAAACCAGTGAACTAGTAAACAAGACGCTCCACACTGAATATCGAATGGCCAGACAGGATTAGCAAAAAAGAACTCAGATAACGAACCAACCAAAAACCTATCGCCTAACTAGTACCCAGAGGGACATGGAGATAGATTGAACATGTACTGAAGAGTCCGTTGAGTGATGTTACACAATAGACGAGCCCATGAGTGGGATCCGACGAAAGGGAAGCGACGAGTTGGGCGTTCAAGTGTAACATAGAGGAGATCGTGTGAGGAGGGAACTAAGGGTTGTATTGGCGATCATCATAGAGTCAGCTAAAAAGACTTCAGAGAACAAAGTGAAGTGGAGGTGTCCTGATGAAGTCCTATTTTCCACTCAGAACCCAAGGGAGTAATATTAATAATAACAATATGTATAAAAATTAAAGACTTTCAAGATGTGTTTTATATATTCATACTTCTCCAAAATATACCTCTCCCCAGTAATATTGACAACTCTCCAAATTACCCAAGAGGCTGGGGGCACCAAGTCTTATTTATTTATTTATTTAAAACGGAACATGGTACGATATAGGTGCCAAGAACATGCGCCACACAACAATAATAAAACAAAAGTATGTAAAGAAAATAGGGAGAGGACGAATACATGACGTCATCCAGAAAGGAAGCAATTATATTTGACAAGATCAAACAACATTCGTGACATTACCGTCAGGAAGGCAAGAAAGAAGGAAATTGATTGTAATTCTTGACTATATCTGATAACGTTTCGAGCCACGGATTCGAACTACCTTTCGGACCCTAACCGGGGAGTCGTGATTTGCCAACCGATGCTAACTTAATACAAATATCATTCATCCCATGACACCACATCATCGGCTGATAACCTTTCTGCTTTTTCTATCCAGTCCTAGGGCTAGCAAACAGAGACCGGTACGGAAGCCTCTGGAATGACATTCGCAGTACATACCAAGCCACTGAAGCCAATGTTTCCAGATGAGGAAACTCCACTGTGTCCAAATGCACTACCGGACCTGAAAATTGCTCACACGATGATGCAATCGAATGTGCAGAGTCGCTAGACATCCTCAGCTCGGGGAGGCCATGTTTCGTAGGAGTAGAGCAAGAATGTGCGCACCAAAATATTGTAAACCCAACCCTTGACAGTATGACGGCGACATAGGTGACGCAAATTGGTCTATATCACACTAGGCTTTCACTATACGGTTAGACATCTCACCCGTCACACTGCTAGCATTCACACAACTACCTAGGTGTATGCGAACTTATCGACAACTTTCAAGCGGTTCACCTGCAAGAGTGAGTTTAGGTACAGGCCCCTGCCAAACTTGCAAAACCGCACAGCACATACCACAATTACAGACACTGATCGCCAACTGATTAAGTATGATTTGAGTAGCCTGCATGCTATCGCACAGTAGGACAATATATTCTGTATACTCGAGGTCAAAAAGTCTTTCTCAAGTAAACAGATCTACACCAGTACCACGCACCTTCTTCAGAGCTGACACCAGAACGTCATCGATGACAAAGTTAAAAAAAAGTAGAGAGCTTGGGAAACCCTGTCAAACCCCACTGTTGGCTGAGAACAGTGATGATAGCTGGTTGCATGCCCTCATACTAGGCTTTAAAAAATTGGAAATGACAATACTTTTAGAGTTAATCAGACATCGCTGTCTCACTTTTTTTTCTTAGCTGAAAACAAAGTAGGTGAGTAAGAACCGCATACAAAAGGAATCAACTGTACATATATATATATATATATAATATATTATATTACCTCTTCATCGGTTGCATCAAGGCGACCAAATCGAATATTCTCTCTTATTGATGCATTGAATATTTGTGGTTCTTGACTAATATAACCAATTAGTTTACCACGTAAATAATTCACATTGAAATCAGTTAACTTATAGTTATTTACCAAAATTTCACCAGCTTTTGGATCATAAAATCTTTCTAGCAGAGAGACAACAGTTGATTTACCTAAAATGTACAGAGTAGTAATTTGATTTCACGCGAGGAAGAATGAACATCAGATAGAGAAACATTAAAAAAGCAAACACTCAAAGCAAAGCACTCAACAGTTATTTGATCCTAGTTTTTTGGATTGATTACCCAGTAATTTGATACTTACCATGTTAAAAAGGATCACAGATAACCCTATCAAATTTTGAGATGATTGAATAGCAAAGTGACGGGTTGAGTGGTGACGAGAAGAAATGAAAAATCCTGGTGAAACAACATTGAAGACAAAAGAAGAACAATACGGAGAACATGTACATTCGGATAATTTGACAGCTTCAGGACCAACTTCAGCGGGATCGCATCTGGCCCTAGCTTCGTGATATCCGTCTGTTGGGCTGTCAAACACCACCACCAATCATTCTACTAATAACTTCCAGGTCCCCTTTTCCCTCCACCTGCAAGGTCTACACTGTCGTAAGCCGTCTTCCCCCGACCTCTCAGCAGCGTTGCCCAGCACCAGTTTTCGCCGTTGGATCCTGCACACACACCAACTCAGTAACAACTTCGCATGCCTCCCTTTTCGTAAGCTACATGACATAGGATCTTCATTTTTTGTAAGCAGCGACGTCGAATGTAACAACAGAACACGGTAGTATATGGCAGCAGAATTGTTATTTGGGAAAATGGTGTACAGTTTAGGCAAAATACAGAAACCTTACAGTGAAATCATCATTTCCACATGTTCTTCGTATTGCGCTTCTTTTGTCCTCCTTTCATGCCTCCTATATTGTTTCTCAGGGAACTCTCATTTCTCCTAGTCGCAACTTAATAAATAGCTTCGCTTTTCAATATTCTTACAGAAGACATCAAACACACAATATACTACTTGCAAAATCTTGTCAGTAGAACACTTCACACTAATTGAAAACTGAGTGCTTAGGTTATTCGACTGTCGATCAAAACAATGAGAAAATCAAACTAATGTTCAGATATTTATTTAATTCAATTTTAGATTTTCCCGTCGACTGATTGGACCGAAGTGCTCGGTCTCAGGTTGACATGTCGGCTTCTTGTGCAGATGCTTCGATGATGTCTTAGGATTTAACTTGAAGTGATTCGGTGGATGGTGGTGACTAGAAGTGGAATCCAGGATGCGCATTTCATCCTATTCGAGACTCGTCATCTGGATGTACCTGCATTCCGTAGTGAATGATGATGCTCCCACCAAGGCTCGAACCCCGTGCCCATAGTTTCAAACGCCAAAGCATCTGCACAAGAAGCCGACATGTCAACCTGAGACCGAGCACTTCGGTCCAATCAATCGATGGGAAAATCTAAAATTGAATTAAATAATTAATATGACCCGTTGCACAAGAGGTGGCTGTCGTGGCCCAAGTGGTCTAGTGGATAATGTTTTGGTGGTTGAAACTATGGGCACTGTGTTCGAGCCTCGGTGGGAACATCATCACTCACTGAGGAATGCACGTAAATCCAGATGATGAGTCCCAAATGCGACGAAATGCGCATCCTGGATTCCACTGCTAGTCACCATCCACCAATTAACTTCTAATACTCAGATACTTGAGAAATTAAATTGAAATCTTACTCATTTGATGATTACGTAATCATAATTTACCTGCACCAGACTGGCCAACTAACGCTATTACTTTACCACCGGGTAAATTCATTGACAACTGCTTCAACACATCACTTTCTGGACGATTAGGATAAGCGAATTGAACATTTGCAAAGGTTATGCTTGGTGCCGTAGAATAGACTAATTCATTCATTTCTTTCATATACTTGTTATTATTTATGGATGATGATGATTCTGAAGATGCCATACTACCTATTCCACTGGGTAGTTTTAATATCTACAGAAAAAGAAATATGAATTGAAAGCTATCAGTTAATCAAAGCAAGAAATTAAAAAAGTACACTTAGTATAAATGATTAATTAAGTAATAAGAAGTCATTCTATTAGAGCTGTATGTCACGCCACTGTTCAGGGATGTATTGTCATTTGACCTTGGTGATTGCTTTCCAACCCGTCTTATTGGGTAAATTTTTACAAACTGAGTCACTGTAAATGAGACTGACTGACTGACTCACTGAATTTCAACACAGAACTTTACACAGAAGCGTACCAGTTCAAATTGTCACATTCCATGTAGCACCAAAGGCTAAACAACACATGCCACTGGTCATTGTCTCCAATGCGGTCAATCGCAGGTCGGGATTGTGTCCCTGATTGCAGCACTGGGTGACGCCCCATAAACGGCCGGGTAAGGCCAACGGGTGGGTAGACTTCGATCTAACTCTCGAAATGCTCTCATATGTCCATGCGTTCACAGTCTCTGCCAGGCAAATCTTATTCACTACCTCCATGTGGAGAGTATGTTTTTCAAGAACGTTTGGCGTTTACAATCAGACTGACGAACATCTTGGTCTACCTAGATGAGCTAGAAAACCCTGATTTCAAACCTATAGTATACATGGGTCCAGAATCCGAACGAATCGAATAGCATATGAATCTGTCTTGGTCACCAGAAACCATGGGAAGGCAACTCCTAACGCTGTTCTACTGCCTTGTGGATCAGATATGAATTCAGAGGTTCGAAGGAGATGTGGACCCTTAGGACAACTACCTGCTTCAGTCTGCGAGTCCGTAAAGTATTGCAGCCCTGGCACAAACTATGAGATCTTGTGTGGTGCATCTGTTGGTGTTTTAATAATAATAATAACAATAATACTGAGTGACGCGGGTCTCAATCTCCAAGGGGATATCAGTCCTTTCATCTTGCTGAGGATTGTCAATAATCACGAAACCCAAGTCTAGGATATCCTAGCAACTATGTCTAACCGTCACGATGTGTTGTTTCACTCACTTTCAGATTAAGTAACTGGCTAATGTCGAACAATGAAACAACACTACTAATGAATTAATCACAGAACAATAAATCCCATTATATGTACCATAATACTATATATTGATCCCATTTCTGTCTTCTTTCCATTTCAGTAGTATAATGATATATATGCGCAGAAATCTTGCTTTAAAAATTAGAACCAATACCTGAGGATATTCTTAGTTGTGCATGGAATTGCAAGTGATTGTTGAGTAACATTTTATTTCATTTTTTTACATTTTGGTTGGCATCTGTATGCAGCAAGTAGAACCGATGCTTGAAGGCAGTAGTTAATACTGGCTTGTAATATAACATAGTAATACAAAGGCACACATATTACCTTATTTTTATTCGTATATCTTAAAATTATATTTGTACATTTGCTCCCTTTTTTCCATCTTTTATTTTACAAAACTCTCCAACATTTGATTAAAATATTTTCATTTATTTGTCCTGAATTTTGTTACACTCTATTTAACGTACATCACCAACCCCACAGAGGTGATCCGGGTTCGATTCCCGGCCGATGCAATCCTAAACTCCACTCAGTCACTGGTAAACCCGGAAATGAGGGAAGTTGGGGCATGAGGCTAGTGAACCCGCCAAGTAAAACGAAACAGCACCACCACAACCACAACTGATTCTCTAAAGGTCAAACTCGAAACCCTATGTTCTACTCGGATATGAAGATTGGCGACTTGCACTAACACATACAGCAGTATTAGGTCCTATGTCGGGAACATATGCGTGACTGTTAACATGAAATCTACGAAATAATCAAAAACCTTCAATATGTGGATACGGTTTAAAAATGACTGAACAGTAACCCAATGACGAAATGATTAAATGCTAACCTTCGGAACTAATTGTCCAGTGATCTAGACTTTATATCGTTCACAGATGAACACTGTTGAAAAATCTCAAAAAAGGCTGTTCAATAATTAACTAAACGGCTTTAATTCAACACAGGAATCCTTGAATATATATGAAAAGCATAATTTTCTTATTTACCTCATGAATACGCTTCAGTGCAGTAGATCCACGAACTATATGACCATAGAGTAAAGATAACTGAGAAAGTGAACGTTGCAGTGTTTGTGTAGTAGCCAGGAATGACATTAAATGACCAGGGTCTAATTCACCTCGAGACATTAAATGACCACCAATATATAATACTCCAAGTACAACACCTTTTATAGTAAAAAAAATAAATAAAACGAACACAGTAAAAACACGGAATCATGTACATTGGAATAGGAAGATCAGTGAAATACTTGTATTTACGTAGTATTTAAATTTGAGTCGGTGGTGCAGTGGTAAAATACTCACCGATGTTCGAACCCGGTCGAAGCACTCCTAAATCTCGTTTAGTCGGTAGCAAATCTGATAAACAGGGAAAGTTGAACGTCAGACTAACAATCCCACCCCTTAAAAAAAACACAACACCAATGCCGCTGAAACGTCAAAGCTCAAGATTGAAGACCGATATTCCAATCAGAACGCAAAGGAACAGAATTTTTTAAAATCAATCTTTAATTGTTTTATTATATGACATTGACTCATCTTGAGATTTAGAAAACAGAAAGATTGAGTGAAGCAACATTTACTTTTCAATTAGATCCTCATCTCTGGCTCTACTCTAATATACACGTATAGCATTTTTATTACAATACACAACAGTTTACCAATCAAGTGGCACTGATATGTTTGTTAACAATAATTAAACAGTGTCAAAATGTCAATGGGTTGATAATAAACGAAGAAAATCAATGGACACTTAAAACGTAGAAATTTTTTTTCCTTCACGTTCCCAGTGGAACATAGGGCTTCAAGCTAGTGGCTTGAAGTTTCTGTAGCAATGTTTATTTTACAGGATAGGGTTGCTAGCCTCATGCCTACCCTTTCCTCTTCACCAGCATTATTTCTGGCTTAGCGAGGTAAAGGAGTGCGTCTGCGGTGGGGGATCGAACCCCGGACCATGTGCATGGTCGGCGAGCGTCCTAACCGCTATGCCACCGATGCCAAAAGGTAGAAATGGTTAGAATAAATTAATTTTACAAGGATAACACGTAATTAAAGATGAAGTGGTCAAAATAAATATAAATAAAATAATTTGGACAATTACAATTTTAAAGGTTTAGGGGGAGGAGGGCGAAATAGTCCGGTTTATACATTCATGTAACGATGGCCAAGGTAGGGAAAGTGGCTGTACAAATTTCTTCTGAACACACAGGTTTGGCTTCTTCCACAGGTGGATTCCTATGTGTATTGACTTTCTTCGTTTATTATCAACCCCATTGACATGTTGACACTGACTAATTATTGTTAACAAACATATCAGTGCCACTTGATTGGTAAACTGTTGTGTATTGTAATAAAAATGCTATACGTGTATATTAGAGTAGAGCCAGAGATGAGGATCTAATTGAAAAGTAAATATTTCTTCGCTCAATCTTTCTGTTTTCTAGATGTCTAAATGGGGATTTTTTCTATATTGAAATCATCTTTCAGATGATGTTCAAAATAAATGGTTCTAACGTGTTGTTGCAAGTTAGTACAAATCCGAGGAAAGTTGTTCTCTTAAAATAATCATTCATGGTCAAATTGCATTTGTGTATAGTATTTTGATTTGAAAAACCTGTTAGTGAACTTTAACAGGACATCCTAGAGAATGAAAGTATTTCTTCATAATCAGAATAAAAAGTTGACATATCACAGTTGATATTCAGATTTTGAGTTGATTTTTTGTAAATGATCTTAATTAATTTTATCGCAGATTTCCTCACAAACCATCAGTCATCATTTAGAGAACCAGCTGCTTCGTCCTAGTTTGAGACTATTCAGTCATGCACACCCACGACCTCACCAGAGATCGAATTCAGGTTGCCATTCATACACTAGGTACGAATTCGACGACCCATGGAATTTTATATCCATTAATTAGCAACGTAAAGCGTAATCACCAGCCAATATTATCGGTGAGCATTTGTCCTCACATCCAACTTGATGGACCCCCCCCCCGTTGGTCACGACTTCTCACTAGAGCCTAAAGCAACTTCAGTCTGTAGTTAGTCACTAGTCAGTATGAGACTAACTTTAAAGTGTTTATTAGATGTATCACACAGTGAAACAGTATTATTATTTACTGGATGACGTTTCGAACAAAATCCACTACCGTTCATAATCATATCATCAATTATATTCACACGACTTCGAAACTTGAGTTTTATAGTTTCCTTTGTTCTCTCCTATTTGTTGTCGTTGGGGCAGTAGAATTCTCCAGATATCTGGGTGAACAAGTGTTGAATCATCCCTATTACACATATTTACAGTTGATTCGATATACAAAGCTTCCGCTGTCATCAATCTCCCCCTGCACCCTGCTGTTACATTAGATTTTAAAACTGTCATCCTATCCCATCCTATTGTATGGTTGTGTGATTGCATATAGTGAGTGCTATAGCTGAACTATTCTCTAGATTTCTTATCTTATTCGGGTCAACTAATCTAGATTTTCCTGCTAGGTTTTTATGCTCGGCTAGTCTGGCTGACTGCCCCTGTCCTACTACTTTGACCTGACAATCATCGCAGACAGGGTATTAGATAAACTAAATTGGTTTTTTCGTTTTAAAGGCTCCACTGGCAGGATCCTTTAGTCGACAAAGCTTGTTTCTAGTTGAGTTTGTGGGTTTAAATGCCACTTTTATTCCTGACTTTTTAAGAATTCTGTAAGGTTTTTGAGGTTCCTTCCTTGTATATAATTACTACTAATGATTTAGATTTTGTTCCAAACGTCATCCAGTAAATAATAATATTGTTTCACTGTGTGATACATCTAATAAACAAACTAATATGGAATTACTACTACAGTGCCCACGTTTTACACATATATTTCAAGTGTTTATCTGCAGGGATTTGGTTGATTTCAAGATTAATCATGAACTGAATTCACTTCAGTTAGAGAACTGCTGAAAACCAAGAAGTACAGGACAACAACTGCTTCGTATCAGGGGTCGAACCTGAGACGCCACCAGCCACTGGGTTGAAATCCACTGATCGGTGAATTCTTACCACTGTCAATTCGTGATATAGCGCCGACATCAACCAGTATTATCAATGAACATCAATGTGCATAATGCATATTGGCTTTTTAACAGTTAACTTTACAGACAAATCTATGATGTCCGGTAATTGAATTTACTGCAGAAGAAGAACAACAACAGCAAAACAATAACGTCTGTTTTTCATAAATGTTCTGTTGACCAATAGGGTTAGATAGAACCATAACACAGAGTCCATATACAGAAGGTTAACATCAACTGATCACAGCACTCACTTTTTCACTTCGCTATCCCTCAAACAGAAATGAAATAGGTAAAATATCCTGATGGTTCATTGTAAGAAAATCATTCACTCTGATAACTAACATATTAGATATTCAAGTATTGATTTGTAGGGATTTGATTGATTGGTTACAGGATTTCATCATGAGCTAACATCAGTTAGAGAAACATTGGAAAACCTTGGATTACTGGGCAGTCAGCTGTTTTGTCAACCTAACTTGGGACTCTTCCGCAGTACGCACCCACCACAGGGGTTCTAACCCAGGACCTTCTCGTTACAAGGCGAACTCGTAGACCAGCCTGTGAATTCCAACTCCTGCCAATTCACGACATAGCGCGACCACTAGCCAATGTCTTCGGCGAGTATTTGTCCTTACATCCGACCTGTTTTACCCTACTGTTCACGACTTCCCACTAGAATCTCAGGTAGAGGTAGAAATGAAAACCACTTATAATCTATTTGACAAGAATGGATATTCGGTATAATTCGTGACTTAATAAACTAGTGAAATAGAGCTTAAATCTAGAAAACAGACAGAATGATAACAGTTTCAAAGGCATCTATTCCCCCCTCCCAAAACATGTGAATTTAGAGGTGATATCATCAAAAACCAAACGGCGTCCACGAGTCAACCAACATTTCTCTGATTAATTTTCTTGTTGCTGTTAGCCGAGCCTTGTGAATTCATATCGGAACTGTAAGAAATATGAACTCACTTGATCAAAATAAATGTCTGGTACCTAATGAGGATATTAGGTGAGGAAGGGAATTTAATCGACGATGTTCTGAATAGACATTGACTGAGATAGCTAAGTCACCTGTTGCAGCACAGTCATCGCCTTCCTCGATGAGTAATGTTAGCCAACATTGGTTTAGGTTGGAAAAGAGCTAGGAGTGGTCACATCAAGATCTGGTAACAACCCATGAAGTTCTCGACTGTTTTTAAATCTTGATCTCAGTTCATGTAATTTTAATCTTTGTTTTTGATGACTACTCATGATTCAGATATGATTAGACAAGATGTGTACTTTTATACATATATACTTTTTTTATTTTTATTTTGATTATTTCAAACCAGTTTGCAAAAGGAAACGCTGGAATTATTTATTACAATTTTGTTGGAATTTATACATATATAATAATTTTTACATATGATATTGACTGTTTGTTTAAGTGATGTAGATAGGTGTGGACTATTTTGGTTCGTATTTTTGAGATGCTAAGAACTAATGACTTCAGATTGTTGGTGATATGGCTCAAAATAGTTCTTGATAGCTCAGATGCATTCACTCTTTGTGACCCTAGATATCCATTAGACTCACATGTTTTTCCATATCACTACCCTCTCTCTTACACATTTCTGCTAATTATGGTTCTTCTAAATCTCTTTTTTGCCCCCTTTTCTCTACTTTTGTGTGATATACATGGAGTGTGGCAACTTGAACTGGTGCACTTCGTTTGCAAAGTTCTACGTTGAAACTCAATCAGTCAGTATAGAAATACTATTATTAAGATTTTCTCAATCTTCATAATCCTAATATATCTTACACAACCACATTTAAATCTACCCACTAGGCAATAAATCGAACGATTGGTGATAACACCTGACTGATTGTACTTTGGTCGATGGAGCGGGTTTGAAGTTTTGATGCATTTGTCAAGTGTCTAAACTATTTTTCTTTTTAATTTCAATTATCCGGAAACGTTTTTTCATGTACCAGGCCAAGAGCCATACCGATCGTGTGAGGGCTAATGATGTTTACTACCCAGTTGCTCGTGTGCGTCGGTGGCACAGCGGTTAGGACGGTCGCCGACCATGCACATGGTTCGGGGTTCAATCCTCGGCCACCAACGCACTACTTTACCTCGCTAAGCTAAAAATAAAGCTGGTAAAGAGGAAAGGTTGGGCATGAGGCTAGCAACCCCATCCTGTATGAAATAATCACCACGGCTACAGAAACTTCAAGCCTCCAGCTTGAAGCTCTATGTTCCACTAGGAACGTGAAGGAATAAAAAACACCCAGTTGCTCAGATTGAAGTAGGGGGAGGGACTCGAACCCGTAACCTACCCGCTGAAAACCGAATGCTGCTTAAACAAGTGCATCTAAACTATTAGGTCCATAAATATCTACACGAAATCCAATCGTAAGAAAAGAAACATCCACGCATCCAAAAATACATTTAAACATGAAACAAACATTCAAAGATGATTTCATTAGAAGCTGATATCCGCTAAACAACATCTGAAAGTCATAATATACTGAATTTTATGAGATTGTAAGCACTAACATTCTCATTAAAGAAAGTAAAGATTTAATTCCAAAGTAATTTAGCAGATGGTGACCAGCACTTACTTAAACCAAGGATGCGCGTTTCGTCCCATTTATGACTCGTCAGAGGCCGAGCACTTCGATCCAACCGATTAACGGGAAATTTCAAATTGAATTAGATAATAAGTGATATCCGTTGCACAATAGGTGCCTGTCATGACCCAAATGATCTTTGAAACGATGGGTACTGCGTTCGAACTTCAATGGGAACACCATCACTCACTGGGAATGCCGGTGCAACCAAATGACGAGTCCCAAATAGGACGAAATGTGCATCCTGGATTCCATTGCTAGTCACCGTCCACCAGATTACTTCAAGTTAAATCCTCAGACATCATGGCAGCATCCGCACAAGGTGCCAACATGTCAACAGAGGCCGAACACTTCGGTACAATAATACTTTAATTTCGACACCCATAGGGTTGAAGAATTACCAAGTTACTCCATGACTTGGCTATTTACATTACACATGCACATCTATACACACAAATATAAAAAGGATTTATTACATGAAAAGGAAAATAATCTACTGTAAGGTAAGCAAGATATTTACTCACCATTCAGGGCTAAGTTGGAGAGACCTTGAAAGGAACCAATTCCAAAGGCAAGTTTTTCACTAAGTCTTCTAGCCTTATCAATATCATAATTCATTTTCCTTTTGAAAAAAAAGAAAGAAAATATAATCAAGATCACTCTCCTGACTTCATTCTAAAATGAAATGATAAATTATTATTATTATTACTATACATCTGCCGCTTTTCCATCCATCGAAATGCATTATATTTACTGTATTTCATATTGTTTTAACCATCCCAACTACGTTCATGAATTGTAACCTACTTTCACGTTTTATTATTGTCCCCTTTAGTTCCTAGAGGAACATAGGGTTTCAGCCGCACGTCTTATTGCGTTCGGTTCTCAACCAACGTCTTCACCTGACTCCACGTCGGCCCACATGCTTTCATCTCTTCTTCGCATCACCTCCTCCATGTCACTCCACCCACACACTGACGACCAACTCGCCGCTTCCCATTTGGGCTCCACTCCAGCGATAGCCTGGCGTGTGATGTCATTCACTTGGTGGTTTGTTTTCTCAGAGTATGACCAATCCATCTGCATTTCTTCCTGCATATTTGTTGCACAATTGGTTCCTGCTGGGTTGGTTTGTTGCCAGAGAACCCTCACTGTTGCTGATCTTTTCTGGCCGGTCATCTGATCTTGAGTAGTATTGAGCGAAGACAGCTGTTGATGAAAGTTTGTAGTTTGTTCGAAGTGACCTTCGTGACGCGGCGCCAAGTCTCTGATCCGTATAGTAGCACTGAATTCACATTGGAGTTGAAAATCCGCATCTTGTTTTTCATGCTGAGTGCTGTTGACCTCCACACAGACTTGAGAGTAATGAAAGCTTGCCTTGCTTTTTCGATCCTCGCTTTGATATCCTCACCAGTTCCGTCCGCCTGTAGTTGAAACGGTGCTTCTCAGGTATGTAGGTAAAGGAGGTTTCATCTTTCAGATTTCTCCCATTTATGCTGATTGTTGTTATTGCTGTTGGCCAGGAATCCTCATCACCTCTGTTTTCTGTATGTTCATCTGAAGTCCTATCTGTGATGCTTTTTCTGCCAACTTGTTGCTTTTCACTTGCATATCTTCCGGTTTGTGGAAAATTAGACATATATCATCGGCGAAGTCCAGATCCTCCAAGTTTTTTGTGTGGATCCATTTTATACCTGTCTACCGCAATCAGGAAAATCATTGGAAATAGTAGGCAGACAGCTTGTCTTACTCCCGTCTTCACTTCTAAGAATTCTTACGTACAATTATAAAAACGTTTCAACCCACAGCTATGAATTTCTCAAAGGAAGTGGAAGGAAAACTTCGCGGAGTAATAAAGAACACTATGGATGGAACAATACTGCTTCAAGTGATGCAGTGTCGACTGATATATGATTCGAAGATTTTGCAGCACAAGAAATAAATTACCCTGCAATGAAACAAGCTGAAAACTCAGTACTGTGTTTAAAATGAACATCCTAGAATAAAGCTATTATTATTGTTGTTGATAAATAGAAGAAAAAACAAATAAATGTCATTGAAACTACGGGACATCCCACATATACTTAACACAGCTGGTAGAAGTATATACTTCTATAGTTGGTTTGTAAGGGTTAGTTTTCTTCTTACGAGTTGATTACGGATTTGAGAACCATTGAAAACCGGGGAGTACTGGACAGCTGTTTCATCCTAGTTTGGGAATCATCGGCAGTACGCACATACTGGGATTCGAACCCAGGACCTATAGAAATTTAATCTGATGCTCGCTAGTGACTTGCCACAGGATGGAGTTTCCTGGAGTTCTAGTGAGAAGTCGTGACCAGTGAGGTCCAATTAGATGTCACGTGTGTGGATGGATGTCCCACCGACGACATTGGTTGGGGTCGCGTTAAATCTCGAATTGGTAGAAGTTAGAATTCATGGGCTGGCCACTGAATCGGGTCCCAGTGAGTGGCTGAATGGTATACGAGCTTGCCTTGTAACCGGAAGGTCGTGAGTTCGAACCCTGGCAGTGGGTGCACACTGCCGATGATTCCTAAACTAGGATGAAACAGCTTTCCAGTACTCCAGTGCTGGTTTTTAATGGTTCTCTAACTGATATCAATCCGTGAACAACTGGTAAGAAGTATATATGGCAAAATAAATCAACAAGATGTACATGAACTGTCTCCAGGATGTAGGGAATTTAAAAGATGACCGCATTTATACCACTGTGATGAGTTTTATTCTACACTGTTTAGAACTGTCAATTATTAGGACACATGTCTAATGTCACACACACACACACACGCATACTGGAAGATCTATAGGTGAAAAGCATCAAGTTTGAAAAAAAGGAGCGAAGACACGACTTCAAGTGAACATAAAAAAGGCAGAGGTGATGAAGATATCCAACCAACAACAATAAACCATCGATCATCATCAATGGAATAAATCTAAGAGGTCACCTGTTTCACTTATCTAGGCATTACCGTCTCAACTACTAGCAGGCGGCACGGATGAGGATGTGATAGGAACCCGCATAAAATAGTATATCATCCTTTCTCACGAATCGTGTGATTTATCTTGTAATGGAATTACTATGTGAATCTATCATTTCTCACGCGTATTGTCATTTAGTGTGTCATCAATTCATCATCCTTTGTCTCGCCTTGATCTTTGTCAGATCGTCAACCAATCAGGAGAGATATTTCCAGCCAATAAGAACAATCCATCCTCACGGCTGTGAGCCGACTTTATTATGGTAAAGAAATGTATAGATATGTTTTGTCTCCTAATAAATGTACAATACAATATCTTCAGTCACAGGCTAGTCTTTGTCTTCTGATATTTGCGTGACTCAGTTAATCGGAAGGTACGATGGACAAATAGGCATATTAGCGTATCAGTCGAGTTCATAGTTGCCATTATAACAATTAGCAGGCGCAGACATAACAAATTGACGACGGGTTTATTCAGTTCAATACAGTCATAACAGGATGTCAAAGGCAACCAAGATCAGAAAAATAAGACGAACTTTTACTACTCTGAAACCAGACTTGAAATCTACTGTAATCATCGTAAGAAACAAAATTCGGACAGTCGATGCCTCTACATCGTTCAGACTTGGCGCGCATGTCATCAGAAGCATCATCAACAGCTACCTTCTCTCCATACTGAACATCAGATAACCGATCAGAAGGACAAAAGACGGCAAGAAATTCTAGCAACGCAGTAACACATATGCAGCAAGAAATGCAGATGGATTAGAAATCCACCATTACTACTGCAACGACAGAAGACAAGGGCCAGGCAACAGATCGTTTACTAAAGAAATCAACACATATTTATGTATTTTCATGTACATTATTATAGATAATTGTTAGCAGAAAAACACAGTCTTCTGATTGGTTGTTTTCTTGCTGAAAGTTAATCTTTCATCTCTTTGTGGCTGTTTCTTGAAGGTCAGATCACCTATCTGCTAATTGTATCCGCCTACACAAAGTCTGCTGTGATTGGTTGTTGAGTCAGTCTCTGATCTTGTTTTCACATGACCAATATTAGAGACATAAACATTGACGTAAATTGCTGTCTACTAATTTGGCTAGCAGACAGCTCTCACCACACTACTAAAATCTTTCTTATTCTTGTGTAAACCTGAATAAAAGTTGTAGTTTGAACTTAATTCAATTACCAAACAGTACATATTACTAACAAATAAATATAAGTAATGTCTCTAGAAGTATGAATTGCTATTTGAATGAGATAACAACTTACTCAATTTGTAAATCTTCTAATGTCAATGATTTCACTGTTCTTATATGACTGAATACTTCATCAGCTAATGAGGCTATCTGAGAATTCTATAAAAAAAAGGGAAATTGAAAAGTACAATAGAATAGTAATCATACTAAATACTGAGAAGATAAAAACATCGAATAAACATTTCACTTCCTCTTTAAAAGTACATCTCAACTATTTAGAAACAAAATCACAATGTACTCATTGCATCATCAGACAAAAAAATTAATAAAGATATAAGCGATCGGTTTTATTGACCAGTTATTTCCTATATTTACTCGATACATGGCAAAATTTTGGGCCAAGTGATAGCACTTGCATTTGAACAGGAGTCAGAGGAAAATTCGAGAAATTAAAGACGTATTTCTCTGGATTCTGTGGAAACGACGAAAGAGTTTCAGATGGTTTCAGGCTTTTTGTTAGTCGTGAAATGGTATCGTTGCAACGTTTTTGTATGACACTAGATACATAATCCTGAAATGTTTGTCGTTCATCATCGGATAGTTCATATAAAGCATGGGTTCTTTGTGATATATTACGTTGAAGTTCGGGTATGCGGGAGCGGATGGCGTCGATGTGATTGAGTGTGTGACGTTTAAGTGTCTTTGAATTAGGGTAAATATGATTCCGGCGGAGATTCATCCAGTAATGTTTTGGATACTCATGCTTATCGATGCATCGTTTCAGAAAATTAAGCTCCGTGTTAACTTCAGCAAGCTTGACAGAGAAACGCAGGAATTTGTCCAATTCCTTTACTGTCACAGGGTCCTTGGAGTTCTTCAATGAACGAAATATTCCCATATTGAGTCATAAGAAAAAGGCACAAACAGCGAAGAAAATTTTCTTTTCGACGATTCCAGTACAAGTACATTCATACGCGACCGAGCCACCGTTATCTACTGACCAAGGAACACAAACGACAACTTAAACATTTCCTATATTTGTTAATTTTCCTAATCTATTAATTATTTGAGTTGATAGTTATGTTCACAATACAGGGAGTGAATTATGTCTACCTTAAACTCACGAATAAAGTTGTAGGCAATTAATTCTGAAGAGTCCCGAACTGAGACGAAACATTTTTCTACTGCTCATTGACTTTCTACATTTTTTTTAATTTATGCCAACCCATGTTGGAAATCGTTTTCCATACAAACAGTGGATTAAACAGGCAAATAACTATTTATTATGCAACTTTGCAGATACAGTTAAAGAATCGCCACCACGAAGTCAGACAAGTGAACAGTTACTCGCCTGTGACACTGACTTGCGGTTGCCCTAAATATATATCACGAGTCGGTAGAAGTTGGAATTCATGGACCATCAGATCAGGTCCCAGTTGCTGAATGCTCTACAAGCTCGCCTTGTAACCAGAAGGTCCTGGGTTCGAGCCCCGGTGGGTACATGCTGATGAAGAGTTCCACACTATGACGAAACGGCTGCCCAATACTCCCAAGTTCTCCAGTGGTTCTCTAACTGACATCAGCTAGTGATCAATCCGATAACTAATCAAATCCCTGTAAGCCAACACTTGATAATTTCACAGTTCAAAATTTGTGCGCGCGTCGGTGATTCAAAGGTAGAATGTAGGCGACCTACGGGGGAGGTCCAGATTCGACTACCTGACGAGACTCTCCCAAACCGTCTAGTTCGCTAACCGATAGTAATCCCGGATATGAGAGAAGGTTGGGCCTGGGGTTAGTAACCCCATCCCTCGGAAAAAAATACACCGCTTAAAGTCTTTTGTTTCACTCGGATTGAAGAAAAAAGGAAATGAAAACCACAGTGGACAAACACGAGTTTTACAAGAAACAGCAAAATCAAATGAAGACTAGTGTGAAATATTCAAACTTTTAAATGCAGTACAGAGTGAATACGCCGACCCACCACTATAAATGACTCCACACTATCTCGCCAAGAGTCTCTAGTCAGCAGGTTTTAACATTTTGAAGATTCTAGTCAGGCGATTTGTCTCAGTTGTCTACATCCTTTCAGTTTATCACGAAAATGTTCATCTGAATATCTTGTTTGAGATAAATTCCATTAATATTAATATCTTTATGCTTGTAAAGTTCTAGTGTTTAAGATTTGAGGGTTTAACCTATCATGAATCGAATAGTCCTAGTAAGCATTCAATGTTTGCATACCACACATTATACATTAAAGGATTTCTGAATCACAGTGAGGAGAATATCTGGAGATTTACGATGAAAAATCATTGAGTTTCATCACAAGCATGTTTATTTTATAGATTATCGAAGAAATTTGAAAAACTTTTATAATCTAAATACAAATTGTTCATCCGGCTACCACTACTCCTTCGGAGAATTCCTTGAATCAACCTTCCTTTGGAGAGTCAAAAGGACATGAAACTTGTGGTAAATTCATGTCATCACTAATAATTGTGTATCTTTTATTGAAGTCCTACTCACTTTCTACTTGAGAAGAATTTAAGAAAACAACCGCAATCCTCTGTTTTTGAATAAGGCAAGAACAACAGTTTGTGCAGAATAAGATGTTGCCATAGTCAACAGAGGTTGAATATGTCACTAGCCAGAACCTATTCTGCAGATAAATTGGTTATTATTTATTTATTTATTTAAACGCAGAAAAACTTGGTACAATATGGCACCAAGAAAGATGCGCCACACAATATTGTGTGAGGGCTGAGATACTGCCCGGGCGCCCAGACCGAAGCAGGTGGTTTTCTTAAGGGACCACCCCCCGAGCCTTTGACTTGGAGTCTAATCCGCAAGGCAGCGGAGCAGCGTCAGGAGCTGCGTCCCCATGGTTGCCGGTGACCCATATGGGTTCATACTCATTTGATCCGATTGAATTCTGGAGCCCATTTACCCCATGGTAACTGCTTTTAGTCTAACCGCTATCCAAACAACCTTCCTGACATGGTAGGACCTGCAGGGACATGAGTCCCAGCCAGTTTAGCTTGTTGGGTCACTGCGGCATTCAAGCCCGACCACCACGGCAAGGTAGCAGTTATCGGTCGGGAGATAAGTTGGTTCCCATTTGTCAGACAACATGCTCTTTGGTGCAATCAAAAGTCGACAGATACCCTTCTCATGTTAACACTAACTGTGTATACAACTTTACATATATCTGCCAGAGTAGTTACATAGGGAAAATAGAAAGAATATATACCAAAAATCCTTCGCCTCAAGGGAACAAATGCTTAAAATAGTGCCACTGCTAGACATCTCATCAATACGGGTCATGAGATAGACATTGCGAAATCCTTTAAAATTATCAGTAGACAAAATAGTTCTGTTCTCTTCAAGTTTGCCAAAGTGATCGTTATCAAATGCTTGGAACCCTACTTATGTGTTCAAAAAGAAGCAGTTATCAGTCTTTCCTTGCCCTGGTAACTGGATATCTTTATTCTGTCTTTCACATGTTTACATAATCTTTGGCCTTAACCTATCCCCCTTTTTTACATAGTGTAACTTTGCTTGTCTCTTGTTTCTATGATTTGAGTTGAACTCACTACACTGTTACTCAATTTATTAGTTACTCATAAATCTTACCTCTTGTCTCTATTATGTAACTCCTTTGTCATTGTATGCAAACATTTATTTTTGTTTAAGCTTGAACTCTCTGGGTGAAAACTATATAAGTGAAATTTTCTGAGCACTGTTCACTAAGTTTGGAAACTCCTGTCAACTGACATCAAGTGAAATTTGCAAGTATGTTAAAATACTTCCTGTACATAAAACTAATAATTTCTTTAGGCTGTACTCAGCTGATGAGAAGCCAGTGAAATAAAAGATGGTACGATCTTATTCTGCACAAACCGCTGTTGTTCGTGGTTTATTCAAATTGATAATAGGGATTTTGGAGTCCATGATCATCACAGGTTTGGAATCAGGATTCTCTAGCTCCCCTACGTACAGTAACATGTCCACCAGCTCGGTTGTAAGCGCCAGACGTTGACATTCGCCCCTTCACTTTCGCAAGGAACACTCCCGTTGCGCGTAGGCAGTGAACAGAACTTACCTAGCAGAGGTATGGACACGTGGCCACATGACAGCATTTCGACTGACTGACTGACTGACAGGTTTCAACATAGAACTTTGCACACAATTACAGCAGTTCGAGTTGCCATACCCCATGTAGCACACAAAGGAAGATTACAAAAAAGATATAAGAAAGAGATTCGAGAGAACAATAATGAGCAGAAATTTGACAGAAAAACTTGACGGTTTAGTGGATGTGAGAGATCACAAAGGGTGAATACATGTGCTTCAGTGAGAATGATTTCGAGGCATACCACCAATCGTCTCCAGCCACTGGTTCTAAGCAAGAGCATTTCAAGAGGAAGACCGAAGTCTACTCAGTCTAGGCCGTACCAAGTCGTTTATGGGGTCATAATTCTGAATAGAGACTTCACGATACAATTAAAATATATAGCAATAGGTTATCATTCTTTTGTACATTGAGATGCAAAGGATGTGTTTAAAACCCAAAACGTAGTGTATCCAACATCTATAAAAACATACTTTTATACTTATATCTAGCACCACGCCAGTTTTATAGGAAGAAAAACAACTAACCTGAGCTTGAGCTTCTCGACTAAGCAGACGAAGTTCAGTGCCCATTAAACTTCCAATCAAGAAAACACATGGTAAACAACCCAAAAGAGCAGCCGTTAGAGTAGGAGATATACTCAGTAATGCGAATACAGAACCAACAACCTGTAAAATAACGATAAAAGTACCCGAATGCAATAGTTTATTTACTATATTGTAAACCATATCAAATTTTATTTTTTTTAAACAACAGCAAACTGGAAACGATGTTCAACTTTCTATATTAGTGAAAACTTATATTCACCGAATGATTAGTAGCAAACAACCCCTTTTTCGATTTGTCAGCATACTTTTTTTTAAACAAAACACGTATATGAAACAGAAATTTCAAAGTAAGATTAACTGGCTCTCAGTCAGACAGCCTCAGGGGGTGTGAATCTTCCCCCATTCACCTCAGATCAGACGACTGGACAGTATCATTAGCCTACATACTGTAAGTGTGCGGCTCATTACTTAGTACATGAAAAGTCTGTGAAGAATGACTAAATTCTAATAACGCAAGATATAGAGACTGCAATACACAATTCATCACATCATAAAGAAACACCTTTTTCTGTACTGAAGGATAATAAATTAAATAAAAACTGCACAATTTATTATATTAGTAATACTGACCAGTTTCAATTAACATTAAAAAAATTAGTTCGGTCTATGACAATGTCTTTTCCTTAAAATAAAAGAGATTTATCAGGACCAACCACGAATTACGACAACAAATAGTCGCTTGTGAGCAATGTCCTGATAAAAATTTACTTCAAACTAGGTAAGCCCAAATCGTCTGAAGGGTTTTCACTTACATCTTCAGTCCATAGTAGAAGCTCTTAATGAATACACAAGGAAAACCCTTAACTGCATATACCGAAGCAGTTCATCCAATCCCTTTTACTACTTTGACCTTAAACTTTCAGTTAACTCGTACAATAATCCACATTCATTTAGTTCGTTTTCACTCATTGTTTTCTTTCAAACTTTTAACTTTAAAATATACTTTATAGATATTCTTAATTCATGTAAGAGTAGAACACGAGTGCTATGGTAGGTAATTCCAGATTAGATAAGTTCCTTTGATACCAATCACAATAAGACAGTATTATAATGACTAAATGACGTTCTGAGCACAATTTATTGTTCGCAATCATATCAATTCTTTTGTAGGATTATGAGCAATAAATTGTGTCCGAAACATATATATACATCTTCCTACGTGGCTTAAGATGTAGACTTCCTGGTTGGGGTCCTAGGGATGGTAAAAACCAATGGCTGGAGAAAATTGGTGATACAGCTCAAAATCGTTCTCAATGGCTGGCGCAGATACATCCACTCCCTGTGCCTTATAATTCCCAATAAAAATATATTGTTCTTCGTTATTACGATTCTTTTTGCCTCATATCTCTGTTTACGTTTCTATTTTGCGTTTCTTTTTACTTTATTCTCTTGCTTTGTGTGCTGAGTGAAGTATGGCGACTCGAACTGCTGCACATCGGTGCAAAGTTCTATGTTGAAACCAGTCAGTCAGTCAATAATATATAACTGTTTTTTTATATCGAATTAACTTATCTAGTATGGTAATATTCTGAATCACTCACTCTTCTGAATAATGTTCCTATTTCCAAACATTTGTCGTTTTTAGTGGTAATTATTTCTGAGCGATACTCACCAATTATTAATTTTAGATTACATAATTCATTATTTTGCTTCATATATATGTTCATATGTTTTGTTACAAACTGATATGAACAAATGACCCTAATAGGCGTTCCCCTGACCTTTAAGAACAGTATATACCTGTACAGTATTGAAATGAGGCTACGAAAAGAATACTCCTTATTAGCCTAAATATGTTTTTAATTTATTTCACACTCGTTCTCGTTGATATCCTAACTCCAGCTATCTAGGCACAACTTCACAAAACATGAAAATAAAGACTCCACCTCTAACTTATTGGTCGAGTTTAATTGCTTAAAGTGAGGACGCTAAACAATAATCGTTTAAAAGCTAATGACTTAAGGACCAATAGCTTTAAAGCTATACCGTCAACAAATCCAAAATTATGGCATTGTTTGTAAAACAAAGTGTATACACCTATATGTTACTACTAAAAATGTATGTTTTACATAAAGCAGCAATTCTCACCAACAAAATGAACTATAATAGAAATTTCTATCTTAGGCGAATGATTTTGATGTGGTGGTGTTCTCTCTCCAAATAAAGCTGCATTTAAATCGAATCAATTATAATAATAAGTGATCTTCATTTTATTCTATAATAATATCACACTTAACGGTCGACCCTGACAAGACTAACGTATTCTAAATGTTATCAGAGAATCTTTCCAACAGGTAAACTTCACAGCTAAGAGCTGACCATTAATAATCATTGTCAAATACAGATTTATGATTATCGGAGACGTTGTAAAATAGCTTGAAGATTCCTGCCTCTGTCTAGTAACGTTACGAAGGCAGTTCTGACTGATTAAACGTTAGACCATTGGCAAACTAAAATGCTGCCATTTGGTTGGGTAACAAGGGCTCATGACACTGACACTATTTGCTCATTACCACCCGTCTATTGTCTGTCTGTCTGTCTGTTTTCGACATAGAACTTTGCACATATGTGCGGCAGTTCAAGTCGCCACACTCCATGTAGCACACAAAGGAAGAGAAGGAAGTAGGAGAAATGCATATTAGAGACAGTAAACAGAGGTGTGAGACAATGGAATAGTAACAATGAAGAACAAAAGTTTCATTGGAAATCATAAGTCACAAGGAGTGGATGCATCTGTGCCATTGAGAACGATTTTGAGCCATGTCAACAACTGTTTCCAACCATTGGTTTTTACAGTCCCGAGGACCCCAACCAGGAAGTCTACACCTTTCTACGTGGCCTAGACTAACTGTTGTAGATTTCATTAACTGGTGCCATGTTTTGGTTTGACCGCCGCTAGCTCTTTTCCAGCCTGACCTTATATCAGCTAACATTGCCCGTCGAGGAAGGCGATGACTAGGCATACGTAACACATGTCCTTACCATCTCAGTCGATGTAATTTCACAGTCTCGTCTATTGATTTCCCCTCCCACCTACCTAGCACTCGACGCCTAACCTCAATATTGCTCACCTTATTATACCACTTCACACGGGAGATAGAACGTAAACACCTATGATCATGTCCTCCGCTCTCAATGGCCAGGTCTCACAGCCATAAAGGAGGACGGAGCGGACTGATGAGCAGTACACACGCCCTTTGGTCGATAGTCGGATATCACGTTTACGCTAGAGACGGCGTAAACTGGCATATACGAAACTAGCCCTATTGTATCTTATATTCAGTGAGACGAAATAATCTGTCAACGAAATGTGTACCCATAAAATGTGACCGGGTAGTGGCTAGTCAGTCAAGAAAGAAAGCCAAAGGAGTTAGACAACCGATAAATTTACACCAATAAATACAAGATTAAATTCCCCTCACTGCAGCTAAATGAGTATAGAACACGACACAGACCATAGTTTTGTCCAATTAAAGTGAGTGAAGAGTAATAATTGCTTCCCAGACATCCGTTGTTATAAGAAGAAAATATAATTATTTACAAGGAAATAAGAGATTTTGTACTGCTATTTTATTATTATACACTCCTTATGTTCCTTTTCGAAAATAAGTATAATTACTTACAATGAAAACTCACTTGGATGCCATTACGTAGACCTTGTGAAATGCACTGCTTGAACGAACTTTTAAAGTTTTGAACATCGGACCCAATACTAAAAACAGACGATATAGAAACATGATGAAATGGCTTCACGTAAGTTTAATAAAAAGCTGCGTCCAGACTATACACCATAAACCAAGAGCTGCGCGGGGCTTAGTCAAACTCTTTCTTATAAGGTCTAAGTTCATAGGAGTTTAAATACTTGGGTCCAATAAGGGGTTCATTTTTGTACTCAGGCTCAGAAATTAGGAACACATTCATTCACATTACTATAATACTTAAATGCAGATTCGTATTAAGTTACATCAAACGTATGTTAGTTTTGAATTAACTAATAACAAATCGCTTAGGCATAACTTACATTTCTACTAGTTTACCAGAACTATGCACATCAAAATAGGCCACATCCTGATAAATTAATTTCTGAAACAATTCAGTGCGCATACGTTTAGCCATGCGTTCTCCGACAGATCCCAAAAGTCCAATGTACAAAAATGTGGATAATGACTAGAAAGTCACAAAAGATATAATAATTATTGTGAAGAACTAAAACAGCTGGTAACATAAACACAGACAGGAGCACACTAACGAAATATCCAGCTTAAAAATAATACCTGACACGAAATCTACTCTTAGGGCTTTTAGTCAACTGTTTTAACCACTTTAATAAATGTATGCTTAAACATGAATTTTTGAAGTGTGAAAAACCTCGGCATAGAATACCCTCGCAAGAAACAGTCAAGATTTTGAAATTTTGACTTCTTTGCAGTATAAAAACAGAGATATAACACATATATGTAAATTCAAAAATCCCAACACAAAATCGTTTGCTACAGCCTCTGAATTATTGAAGTGAATTACAGTATTCATCTCAAACAACTTAGCTGATTTCTTCTATATTTCATAATACACAATATCCAACTAACGATTCATTTTTACTTAGTCGTATGTTACATGTGCTTGGCAGTAACGACGACCTAATAAATTTATTAATATCACATCATGTTCCGCATTAAACAAAAAGCAGTCAAATAATAAAGATTAGAAAGTAAAATGGGCAGAGATCACAATACCTGAAGAATATAGGAAGAACATAATCTAAGTGTAGGGATGTAGACGGCTGCAATAAATCCTTCCCTACTAGCTGCACATTTTGACAGGGCGTTGACAAAGTCACCGAGGTACAAAGGAATATAAACGTTCATAACAGCAGCCACAAAAGCACCCTATCAATAAAAGGATATGGTTGAGAATACATGTACCATTATGGCACCGAGTAAATACACAAAGTCGGGTAGTATTAGTGTTCCAAGATAGCTTAATACACCACTGGTCTCTGGTGGTGTCACTTCATTATAATCTGCCACAATAGTTTCACATTTTACAGTAGGGAAACGAAATTCACGTTGCACTTTCACACTGAAGCCAAGGAAACATCCTGTACTAACAGTGAAGAGAAAGTAGGAACTATATTTGAAAGGCTTGACATGGATTTTTAATTTAGACTGAATGCTCTTGGGGATGATCCTACATTGCGAAAGGCGGTTAATCAGAATACTTCTCCCACATAACGCTGAAAGCATCCGTAGTGTACAGAACCAAAACACGTGATGATTTTCGAGGTCACCATTCTAACTTCAATATTCGGTGACTATGTCCTTGAGTTACTATCCTCGCACTGGCGCCATAAATCATATTTATGAAAATTCGGCTCCGAGTGAGGCTAAATTCTATGACGGTGTGTTTTCGCGCATTGTATGGGTTATCGCGTTCACGCCTATAGAGACGTTCTAATCGCTCAGTTTTGTGAAAATAGATTATATTTCACTAGTTTTAGGCTTTTGTAGCGGAAGGAAGCAATATTTTTCTGTATTGTGTTCGTAGGAATGCGTAAAATTGTCATGATAGCCTAGACGAATTATTAATAATAAAAAAGTCATCCTTTTGCAGAAATTTCGCATAAAAAGACTATTATTTGCGTTTTAGAGCATTGAGGCATTGTTTTTGTGGCAGAAATTAAACGCCATGTACAAGGTCATTGATGGAGTGAGACGCTCAAAAGTCATTTTCGTCCATGTTAGTCGGCCATGTTGGATTGCAGTTCTGTAGCTGTTCGTTTACACATCGGTTTTTCCGTTTACCCAGCACTTATTCACCACGTATCTTGATGCACATTGTTTACAAATGTTGCGTTTCACTTCATTATTGTTTCCGTTTCTGTTAAAATTAGTTATTTCATTTGTTTCGAAAGTTTTTACCACCAGGTCAGTGCATTCATTTCATTGTAATTGTTTCATACGTTGCATTCATGCATGGTTTCAGTGTTTTAATTGTTTTTCAGCTATTAATGAATTAGTACTGTGTAGGAGTTTTGGAGATTATTCACGTGAACATGTTTGGGAAGCAGAAGCCATTGTTTCCAGTTCATTTTTGGTTGCCGCTATTGCTGCTGGCTCAGTTGGTTACTTAATATGTAGGAATCTGGAAAAAAATGTCTCTCACGTTCATGTTTACAGCATGCAACAATCTACGAATGAATCCGGTGAAGAGAGCACCATCAGGGTTGATATTAGCAAAGTTTTCGAAGAACTAATTAAACCCAGAGAATTTAGAACCTGGTTTGAAGTTCAAAAAGCTTTGGAGCTTTTCGACAAGGTGTCTGTTGTCAGCTAAAAAATCAGGTATATTGTGAGAGAATCAAGCAAGGGTGAGCCACATGTGAAGTATGAATGTGTGGTGTTTGTATGTACTTTTGGAAGCAAAATTAGAAAGCAATAGGAAATCCCTAAATGATTGTTAATGCCTAGTGTACTAGATCCAAACGCACGAACTAGGACTGCCTGTAGTAAACGCGGTGTTAACAACCATTTTATTTGTTTCAAAAGGATTTGAAAAGCGGCTAACGTACGATGATCTGGTGAGTGTTCGGTAAGAATTTCACTAGCAAGAATAACGTTTCGAATTTACAACCGTCTGAGAATCCAATATCCAATATCTTTTTACGAGCTAGTATAAACCAATTTGATTTCTTTGCGCTCGCCTCTTGATTGTAAGGTAGAGGTTCCTGATCTTTGGTAAACGTCTGTGTAGCTCGTCCCGCCACTCGACTGCCGTAGCTTTGGTTGACTCCAACAGGAGTAGTGCTGGGATTAATTATATGGCGTCTGTAGTATGAAGTGTGTTAAGACTGTTACTACTGTGAATGGAGTTGATCCTTTCACCAGTTAGTCTTTCGGTATCGTCGTCAATGGAAAAGAGATAATAATAATAATAATAATGATAATAATAGATATAATTAGTAAAGGTATTCAGACTAACAGACAGAGAAAAAAAATAAGAAAACGTAACAACAGTCAGTCAACCGGTATACATATATATATATATAATATATACCAGTAATAATGATAATAATAATAATAGTAACAATAATAATAATAAGTGTAGTTAAAGCTGTCAGGAGAGTAAGACTGAAGGGAATGTGAAGAAGTAAAACGACCAGTTTAATTGTCTATCTTTGAATGGTATATGCGATTTTAAGGGGATAGGCCATTTGGATACAGTCCTTGTGTCACTGCAAGGTTGTCCAGCCTTCGCTTAAAGGCGTCCACAGATGGTGCCATAGCTACATCTGCCGGTAAGGAATTCCAGGGACGGCAAACCCGCAGGGAAAAGAAGTGGGAGCGCACCCGGGTCCTTGCCCTCTGATGAGCTATCCTTCTGGGATTTCCACGAGGGAGCCTATACCTACTCAATGGCAGAACACCTTTGTTCGGGTGATTCTGATCATTTGTTATTTTGTAGGCAGTAATCAAATCCCCCCTCAGGCGACGGTAACTGAGTGTGAATAGGCCTAATTTCTTCAGCCTTTCGTCATATGGCTTATTTCGGAGACCAACCACTCCTTTTGTTGCCCGTCGTTGAGCTCTTTCCAAGAGGTTGGCGTCTCTTTTAAGCAGTGGGGGTGCAATGATATTATGCACTTCAAGATGCGGTCTGACGTATGTTTTATACAATCTTAGAAAGAGCTCAGGAGTGAGTGCACCTAATTGTCTATGCGTAAAGTGTATGACCGCATATGCCCTCGCTACATCCCCCGTGTAATTCACGCTTGTGTCCATTTTCTCCGTTAGAACTAGACCTAAGTCACGTTCCGACGTTGAGCAGGACAAGCTTTCATTGCACAGGGTGTAACTTGCATTCTGCAGTCTACAGGTGCGTAACTTCACTACTTTGCACTTTTTCAGGTTGAAAGTCATTCCACTGGTTACCGCCCAGTCTTCCAGAAGCCTTAGATCTGCCTGCAGCCTATCTGAGTCCTCCGGACACTTTACCGCCCTCCATATCTTTACGTCATCAGCGTATAGAAGAGTTGGGCAGTTTAGACGGCATGGTAAATCATTGATAAAAATCAAGAACATTAGTGGTCCCAGGATAGAACCCTGCGACACTCCTGATGACGAGCTGTGCCAAGATGATCGGACTCGATTGACCTTGGTGCAAAATTGCCTTTCAGTTAGGTAGTCCTTCAACCATGACAGAAGTGGTTTACCTATACCTGCCTGGATTATTTTGTGTAGGAGAAGGTCATGGTGAACAGTGTCAAATGCCTTCTCAAAGTCTAGAAAGATCACGTGGACAGGAACATTCATATCCCAGCATGATGTCCAATCGTCCCAAGCTGATAATAAGTTAGTGACGCAGGATCTTCCTTTCCTGAAACCGTGTTGGGCTTCATGGAGTATTTTAGACCTATCCAGATATTCCCTGATGTGATCATCAATAATACTTTCCAGTACTTTCGATACCACTGGGAGTAGAGCTACTGGTCTATAACTGGTGGGATTTTGCCTATCCCCACCCTTGAAGATCGGAGAAAGGATGCTTCTTTTCCATTCCTTTGGCAGTTTCCCCGATTCCATGGAGTGTTGGAACAAGTCGCATAAAGGCCTACAGAGAGCTTCGGCGCTCTGTTTCAGAACAGATGGCCTGATGTCATCACAACCTGGGGACTTCCCAGGTATAAGTCGCTGCAGCTTTCTCAGTACTATTGCAGGGTTTATTTGAGGGGTGGCTATTTGGTCTTCCTCCTGTGAAACAGTCATGCCACCATTTTGGTTCGTAACGGTAATACCCACATTGCTGTTTAGCTGTTTGGCGAAGGCTAAACTGAATGTTTCAGCCATCTCCAGACTAGTGAGATATTGACCGTTTTGGCCTACTAAGGCGCAAGCCCCTTGGTTGGTTGGTTTCCTTTCCGACATGAATCGGTACAAATTCTTCGGGTTTGCCAGGAGTTTTTTAGCAAGGTTAGCCTGATTATTAATCGGGGTGAAAAAATTGGCTGGTTACAAATTGCTTGTTTCAGTTCAAATAATGAAATTCCTATTTTTCGGATGCTTGTGATTTCTCCGTGGTTATAAACACGGTTGCCCATGATTTATAAGAAAACTTTAAATAAATTTTCTTTGAACCAGTGGTCTTCTTTTTCTTGGCGAAGCATCTGTTGAGACGATTAGGTAGCAAAGTAGAATGTTTTGTGATTGAGAATCGTAGTCGTTGAGTTTCGGATTTATATCGCGCATCTAATTGCTATAACCCTATGAATAAAGCTTTTTCCTCATGGTGCATTATGATGTCTAGAAACCATAAGCACACTGCCTTCGATAAATTTGTTTTTACTTTTTAAATGACAGCAAATAGTGAGTCATTTGAGGCGATAGGATAAATACCTCTAAACGCTTTCGTGAAGAGATTAGGATATGTTTATTTTCTCGACTAGGAGACGATCTTTTTACCCAGAAAGCTCTCAGGATGTCCGCTTTTACTTTGTAATTCAAAGATAACGTTGAGTTGCTCACTTAGGTAGTAGCAAGGGGGTAGCTTTAGGTAATGCGTCATAGAAGTAAGCAGTGTATGTCTATTGTGTCTAAATATATTAAACGTTGTAAAGCCGGTCAAATCGTAGTTCTCAAATATGAGTTAGTTTTTTAAATAATGAGTGTACCGTGCTAGCGTTTGTGCTCGAAACGTCATCAGTTAATATAACTGTACAACACTGTCTGATTTATCAAAATAAAATCTTATCCATAATGGAGTTATACTCTACCACAGTGCCCAAGTTTTACTTTGGTTTGCATACCTAGCTCATGCATGCGTGTGATATACATTTAAGGCTAATACGCTGTTTGATGAATTAGTCCGAGATACTTAAAATCAGACTTGAGCTCTATATCACTGTCATCAATTTTGCAATACAAGTGGAAATTGTCGTGGGCTTGTTTCACACAGTATTGTCGATGCGGTATACAAATCCTTGCATGATTAAAAATATTGAATATGATGTTCTCTTTACATGATATGGTGAGGGGAAAAACAAAGATTACAGCAGTCATAGAGATAAGTTGGTGTTTGCAGTTATGAAAGTGAAAACAAAGAATCAACAGGACCATAAATATAATAGAAATAATAAAAGTAAAACTTGAAGGTATATAAAGCTGGATGGAGGAGATTGTTTATTTTGAAATAATAGAGAAGATTTGTAGCTCAGGTGGATGATTTGCAATTAAAAGTGTTCTCTGAAGAA